CCGATTAACTAACTATTTCTTCTTTTTTCTTTGTTTTCTCTCTCTCTCTCTCTCTCTTTCATATTTATTAAACGTAAAATAAGTTAATTTGCGATACCTCGATGCTAAATTATTTATTTATTAACTTTTCATTTGATTTTGTAATATGTTTAATCGGTCGCCATTTTATAACCGCCATTTTGATTTGATCAAAGTCGTAGAAAATAATGGCGACTATTATTTCGAAGAAATGAATTTAATTACTTCATAAATAAATTACTAATGTTCGTTGTTTTTTTTTTCTGTTTTTTCTTTCTTTTTTTTTTTTAAATATAACGAATTAATTGCTACGCCTAATATATATATATATATATATATAGTTATAATATTTTTCTTAAATACTATTTAATACGCAGGGTGAGATAGGATAAAAGTCGCTTTGTTTTTTCTTTTTTTTTTTTCTAAATAATTCTAATTAAACGGACTATTTTGTTTTTGCTTCGTTTATCTTTTTATATCGTCTTAATTCTGGATGAAAAAAATCATCTGACTAACAATCATACTAATCGATTTTTAATGGCGGAAAAGATCAAATTTGATAAAAGTATACTTTCACGTATTATTACCCCATCGATGATTACTTTTTGATGAGAAATAATAATAACGAATAAATTGAAAATAAAAAGTCAAATTTTCTCGTTAACAAAAAAAAAAAAATAAAAAACAAAACAAAAAAATATGAAAATTTAATTAAATGAAGTTTTTGATTGAACATAAACGACACATTTCTTAGCAATTATTCGCACTAATTGTTCAAATAGATATTTCCCACATGTACACACAACTCGGATCATTTAATTTTTCGATATAACACAATTAAGGGTTGGTGTCCAAATTCACAGTATGATTTTAAATCACTGTGTGTCCAAAAATTCTAATAAAAGCGACTTTTTTTATCTGCAACCTCAAGAGAAACATTCATACACATACATACATACATACATACATACATATACATGCATACACGCAAGAGAAACATAAAAGGAACGACCTTACTCTATAGGAGAAAAAAAAAAAAAAAGAAAAAAAAAAGAAAAATAAATAAATAAATATAAAATAAAATTGTGTGTAAAAAAAAAAAAAGAAAAGTAGTGTGGGGTGGGGTATCCTCCTACTTTCATTTAGAAATTAAGTATATAACCACCCGATTAAAATAATCCTTTCGATAATGCCATTATCTTCTATTCGACAGAATTATTAATCACCTATATTGTTTCAAACAATTATTATTATTATTCATTCTTTTTCCTCTTATCTTAAACCCCCCTCCACCCATCCCGCACCCTCCCTTTGTTGTGTTACGTTTAATATTGTTCTCTCTTATCGTTAGTAATATTGATAGAATTTTAAATGACCATTTAGTAATGTTTAATGTTACAAATGAAAATATTCGATATACAAATAATGTCATTTTAAACGATAATTAGAATTTTTGTTATTTTTGTTATTCCTATTAGTTTCTTTTCTCTCTCTCTCTCTCTCTCTATATATATATATATATCTCTCTCTCTTTTAACACTAGCGCGCGTGTTCCCTCTAAACGATCGATCGTTCTGCTTCTGCTTCCTTCTGCTACTTCTGTTATACAGAGGACAGAGGAGAGAAACTAACTTAACTAACTCTCTTCTATCTTCTCGTGTTTGTTGCGTCAAACGTGGCCGTCGCCACAAGTTATTGAAATGAACGAAGTGTATGTATTTATAAGCAAGAGAGTTTTTCTTCTTCTTCTTCTTCTTCTTCTTCTAATTCTTCTTCTTTTTATTCTTTTAATTCTTCTTCTTATTCTTCATCCTCCTCCTCAACTAAGAGGAGGCACGTTCCCATTAACGTTTTTTCTTTGACGTTTAGAAGAACAAACCCAAAGAGGAAGACACTTATATACACGCTAAGAATAAGAAATTCAAATGACAGAGACAACAAACAGAGAGACAAATAATAATAATTATAATAATAATAATGATATATCTCTGTGTGTGTGTTGTGTGTGTATGTATGTCTCTCTCTCACCCTATTTCTTTCTTTCTCACAATAAATATATATATATATATAATTAAACAAAAGATTTGTTCACAGAGAGAGAGAGAGAGAGAGAGAGAGAGAGAGAGAGAGATACAAGACAGACACTGTTTTATTGTTTATCGGTTGCTAATCAAATAATTCTTGATACACATTATTAATTATTTCTTCATTATTATTCATTCTATTCACTCTTTTTATCTGTATATTTTTTTAAGAAAAAAATAAATCTATTAATTACAATATATAGAGACGACACGTTTCGTGCAAACACACACACACACACACACACATATATACATACGCACACGTACGCGCGCACAAAAACGAACAGATAGATAAATAATAGATAAATAAATAGTTTAGACAGAGAAAGACAAAACACACACGCATAGGAGGACCATTGTAGAATAAAATAGAAAAAATCGTTGAACGAATATATATAAATGAAGTGTTATAACTGATTAGAAACTCGTATCGAGGGTATTATAAAATACTCTCAATGATTATCGATTTAAAATTACAATTAATAACAATAACAATAATAATAATAATAATAATTTTTCATTTAATATTATTCTAAGCGCTAATTGTTTTTTGTTTAACACCCTTTGTGTTTATATATATAAATTAATAAAAAGAAAAAAAAAAATGTATATATACATATATATATATATAAATGTATATGT